TGGGGTCCAGAGAAGACTATCAGCTATATTGGCTGTGCTATTCAACTCTATGTCTTCCTGTGGCTTGGAGCCACTGAGTGTGTCCTTCTTGTTATCATGGCCATGGACCGCTATGTGGCAGTGTGTCATCCACTGCAATATACCACTACCATGCATCCCAGAGTTTGTCTGAAGCTGGCTACCCTTGCCTGGGGAACTGGTCTGGTGCAGTCTTTGGTCCAATCCCCTGCCACCCTCCAGTTACCCTTCTGCTCCAGRATAATAGATGACATCGTGTGCGAAGTCCCAGCTCTTATTCATCTCTCCAATACAGATACTACCTACAATGAAACCCAGATGTCCATTGCTAGCATTTTTCTTCTGGTGGTTCCCTTGGTCATTATCCTTTCCTCTTATGGTGCTATCGTGCATGCAGTACTGAGAATAAAGTCGAATGCAGGACAGAAGAAAGCATTTGGTACCTGTACTTCTCACCTTCTTGTGGTCTCCCTCTTCTATGGCACTGTCACAGGTGTCTACCTTCAACCCCAAAATCACTATGCTCATGAACGGGGCAAGTTTCTCACCCTTTTCTACACAGTAGTAACCCCAACTCTTAACCCCTTCATCTACACTCTGAGGAACAAGGAAGTAAAAGGAGCACTAAGAAGATTARGGAGGAGGACTGGGTTTCCCAGAATAACTAAAAAGGTTGATATTTGTTTGCCTATTGCTTAAAAAAAAATGAAGCAACCTCATCACAAAAGCTGCAGAACATAGGAAAGTACTATATTTTGTGATTTCAGTTTCAGCCATCAGGAGATACCAATTTTTATACAATACTTTATTATCCTTCAGGCATTTATTAGGCCCTTAATTTCTTCATGATGTTGATTTAGGCACAAGATGGTATAGAAATTAATATATTTAATAGAAATTAATATATTTAATAGTTATTTTCTTAAAAAGTATATAATACTGTTGAAATGTGGAGGGTACAAAAGAAACACAACACTTGCAAAATAAGATATCAAGTGATATATTTCTTTCTTTTACATTGATTTAAGTTTCATTCTATGTTTCTCCAAGTTAAGCAAGTGCTTTCATCTAAATGTCTTGTCCCAAAAATATTTCTAAAGTTTTGAGACACATACTTTAAGAAAAAAACTCATATTTACTTCTATAATTTAATCTAATGTATCTTTGTTCTGAATTATTTCTGTCTGTCTTCCTCAATATAACATCATTGCCATTTAATGCACTTAGCTCTACCCAATGAAAAATGTAACTAATCACACTTACTCTCCCTAATGTAATTACTCTATGATTCTATGTACACATTTCTAAATTTTTGGATTGATATTCTGAACCATATTTCTGATTGGATAAGTCACATTAAATTTTTAAAGTTGAATTGTTATTTGCAAACCAAAACTGAACTGGTCATAAAAATATAGTATAATCACTATGAGGATGCTTCATGATTTCTCACAGCCTAGGAGACACCAATTTTTATACAATATTTTGTTATCCTTCTGTTCAGTTGCAAGAAATATAGGGAGTAGCTGAGAGGAAAACTAGGACAGAAAGTGAATTGGACAATTTTACTCCCAKATTGTGGAGCTGGAGTAATTCTGTGGGAAGACTAAGTTTATGAGCCAGCATTATAATGTGTACTGAGGATAAAAGGTGGCAACTACCTTAGAAATGGAAGAAAAAGATGTTATATGTTCAAAATAATGAATTGTGGTACTTCAGAATAATAACTAGGGCTTTGGTATAGAAGGAAACTGGGTCATTTAAGGGAAAATTTTAAATGCCTGTTGAAAGAAAGAGACTTGAATAAATGACAGCAGCAAAAAGAAAAGGAACAAAGGTGCTTGAACATGAGAATTCATAAGATTCACACAGTTTGTTAAAATTAAGATTTTTTTAGAATTTCTGATTTAGAGAATCAGAACAAGCTTGCCTTAAAATGGCATTTTAATTAATACACTAAGTGATTCTGATAAAGGCTGTCTCWGATCATAGTGTAGGAAATACCTAGAGGGTTGTTCAGCTAAGATGGCATGGGCTTTAATGAGTCAATGTAGTTTGAAAAGAAGACTGAAAGGAATAATKGTCTAAAAATGGAATGAAGACAGTAGCTCATTTATCATAATTTGAGATATTGAGGATAGAAATATCTTCTCATGAGGAAGTTCTGAATGAAATGGTTTCATTTGGGAAGAGTCTAATTTCAGTRAATGCCAAGCAGTGTAGAAAATTTAAGGTAAGTAATTTGAGATTATGAGCTTATTAATTATGCAGATGGTGCCTTGGAAAGTTTGAGGAGAGAAAGAGGCAAGTGTGGAGATGAGGAGGAGATGCCATTGTGGGAATGAAATATAAATATAAATAACTCAGACCTGTTTATAATTTTAGAGGTGACTGTTTATAATTTTGGAATGATAGGAGGCACTATGGTCTTAGCTTATGTACATGTTTGTCAACATTCATTTCATTTGAATCATGAGTATTATGGAATATAAACCAACACACAAACACTTTTTTACATATTGATGAACAAATCAGAAAAGTTATCTTTCTTCATAGACATTTTAGATAATGACAAATATTTCCTGAGATGAGTGGCTAAATCAGAATCCCTTACGATGTAAATTAAAATACCATTCCAAAAATCAGATGCTCTAAATCAGAAATTTTAGAGAATCTTAACAAATACATTATTGTCTTTTATAAATTCTCAACATATGACATAAGACCATAATGATTTCTTAGGTCCTTAGGGATGATTATTTTATGGCTTCAGATAGTTTCTTAGAAATTTCTAGAATGGGTAACAGAAAGCAAAGGAGTATAGCATCATTTTCTAGATCATGTGTTATATATGGCTAGTTCTGATTATTAATTGGCTTTAATCCACCTGAGGTGCTTAACACAGATAATATATTGCTATAGGGCAGAACATTTGTGCTTCCATGACATTTAATGAGAAAGACTTGGTCAGCAGCAATTAAGTCTCAAATTCTGTCCTGGGCACCTAATCACCACTAGTCTCCAAATTCATCATGGATGTCATGTGCATGTGTGAGTGTGTGTGTTTGCATGTCTKATTTTCTTTTGTATGTAACCATATAAATGTCAATATATGTGAAAGAAGTATCATTTTAAAATGTGACTGTTATGAAAACTATAATACTGTTTTTCACATGGACAATATGTAAATCAGTAAGAGCAGTATGTAAAACAAGCCAATGAGAGTAATAACAGGGAAAAATCACTACTTATGAGAGATACATTTAAAAGCATGTAATTCATAGACTTTCAATAATTGGGTTTAAATTTTCCTTTCAGATTTCTTTCTTCCTTACCAAGGTGCTATACACCCCAGTAATCRTATACATATTCCACCTATATATTCAGTGCACAGATATATTTTCCATGGGCCTTAGTCCTGTATTTTTTATCTTATGCTTCAAAGTGAAATTCAATTGTCAAAAACTATTAAAATCTCCCTTTTATTTCTCATCTTTATAAAATTAGCCATGCCTTCCTTAATGAATTTTATTATTTGATCAGTGTGTTACCTGGGTAACTTATCAGAATTACAGCATGTTTATAAATAGTCACTAGCATTTGAAGATAAGGACATCTTGTTCACCATTGTGTAGTCGGTGGCCAAATATCTTTACTTACTGTAAGTAAACTATAAAATTATTAAGGAATAGAAGGTGACATCATTGAAGAGAAATTATGAGTGAGGAATTTGCATTTCCCAGGGAAATGGGAAATTTGGATCAGGGAAGAAGATACAAATTTAAGCCTGTTTCCAAGTCCTGAAATAATTTTACCTTAATGGTTCTTTATGTCATGTTCAGTGTGTTTGAAATGCAGGCTTTTGGTAAATGATGGTGCCAAGTGAGTTAGAGCAGAAATAATTTGCCTGTCTTAAGCCTTATCCTGTGTTAAGATCAGAGGCTTAACTTTTAATATAATGACTAAGAGATATGATAGTCCTTGAGAACCCTTGGGCTTTTTTTTTGTTGTTGTTGTTTTGTAATATTTATTTTTTAGTTTTTTTAGATGGACACAATGTCTTTATTTTATTTTTATATGGTGCCGAGAATCAAACCCAGTGCCTCACACATGCTAGGCGAGCACACTACCACTTGAGCCACATCCCCAGCCCTGAGAACCCTTGTTTTTTCAATGTCTTATCTGATATATAAGTATGTGTAAATTCTTGGATATTAAGTGTAGCATGCATCAGTATTGACGAATGTATGTTACCATAGAACATTTCAAAATTTTTCATTATGCTTCGTCCCGGTCTCATAAAATACTTTGATATTTATATTATCATAAACTAGTGTTTTCTCCTATTCTAGAATAAAATCATACATTATGTTTATTTTCTGCTTGGTTTTACACTTATATAATATTTTTATGATTCATTCTTTTTGTAAAAAACTATATATATATATATATATATATATATTTAAATTTATAATATATAAGGGAAAGTATGTGTGAAAAAGTTCAGAGCTTTTGTGCTCTTTCAGGACATACCACCTTCCAAGAACTTCTACATGTTCTGCTCTTTAAAAGCCCCTGAGATTTACCAAATAGATATGTATATCAAATTATTATTTGTGTTGCCAAATAATATAGTAATATATAAATATGACAAATATATTTATGTACTACTTAATATATTATTAACATATTATAAATATATTTAGGTACTACTGAAAATAGGCATAAGTTATTTTGCCTATTGATATACATCTATGTTTGTGTTAGCTATTACTGTGAAAAATACCTAACAAAATCACCTTAGAAGGAGAAATTTATTTTGGCTCATGGTTCATAGTCAGTTGATTCCATCATATAAGACTGAGTTTTGGACTGTGAAAGGCAAAATATCATGGTGGGAAGTACATGGTGAGCAAAGCTGCTCACTTCATGGTGGCCAGAAAGCAAAAAGAGAGAGAAAGTGTTTAGAAACAAAATGTACCCTTCATGGGAATAGCCCCAATGACTGATTTCCTCTAACTAGGTCCTGCCTCCTAAAGCTTTCACCACCTCCCAGTAACCCGTTAAGCTATGAATCCATGCATGAGGTTAGAATCACCATGGTTCAATCATTTCCCAAAGGCCCCACTTGTGACCACTGCTGCACTGGAGACCAAGTCTTCAGCATAGGAGTATTGGGTTTGCTTAAGATCCAAACCATATCAATGTTGTTTTGTGATTTCACTGTTGTTATGTTTTCTGAATTGGAGTGTTCTTTTATGCCTTCTCTTGATCCCACAAGTCAGGGGCTAACAGCCTCCTGTTTGCCTAAAACAATACCCTAAAATGTTCAAGTTTGTGTGCCTTCTTCTAATGCCACAGAGTTGGGTCAGCTGCATGTGAGAGCATTTGCCCTCACCTGCTATGGGGATTCACTCAGCGAGCTAGGCTGGGTTTGTGGAAGGGTAAGTATTATGTAGTTTTTGGTGTCACTAGGAGCCATTCACAGGTAAGAAGTCGCAAGTACCTAATGGATGAAATTCCTGATGTAGTTCATGGAGTTGTAAGTAGCATGTAAGTAGCTACCTCCTTCCCTTCTCCATGACTCTTCTAACTACTTGATTTTGCCTATCGCCTCAGTATTCTTAGTGGTGCAAGAAAGATGTGACCCTCCAGAGTAGCATTCCACACTGCTAGGGTAGAATGTTCCCAATTTTCCT